GCTGCAGCAGAACTCATAACCACCTTTTTTTCCCCCGGTGCTCTGTCCTGGGAAGGTGGGGCTTTATTTATAAGTTCCTGATATGCTGCTGCCTTTTTTCAGAGATGCCCTGCCCAGCGAGGAGGTAGCCTAGTCACAGTCTGCCAGCAGAGGTGTTGCTGAGTTGCCATGGGCTCTGCCCAGCTGCTATGTGAACTTCCTTGCGGTTTTATTTATAGAGGTGTAGTTAGAACTGCCTTGGTAATGGCTGTCTGCCTCAGTAATGGCAGACTGTCTCTGTAATGGCAGACTGCTTCAGTAATGGCGGATTACCTCAGTAATGGCAGACTGCCTTGGTAATGGGTGGACTGCCTTGGTAATGGTGGACTGCCTTGGGAGTGGTGGACTGCCTCAGTAATGGCAGATGCCATTCCCCCCACAGAGCTGGACCATCCCGGGTCCAGCCATGCTTGCTGTGAAACTCAATCCAGAGCATTTCAGATTGCTGATCTTTGTGGGGGTGGTACCCACCAAGCCAGATCACCTGGCTCCCTGTTTCAGCCCCCTCTTTTTCGGTTGAATGGGCAATTCTGTCTCCGAGGTGTTCCAGGCACCAGTTGAAACGGTCACCCAGATTTGTGTGAGTTTTTGTGCGGAAACTCGCTACATTGGCTGAAACAGTCATGCTGGGGAGTCGTGGCACTTTTCTGCCTGGGAATCTCCTGGTCTGCGGGCAGTAAAAACTTGCTTGGAAATGCAGTGATCACTTGCCCTCTGCGTTCTCGCTGGGAACTGCATTCCAGAGCTGTTCCTATTTGGCCATCTTGGATCTCACCTGTCTAACTTTAAAAAAATAATTTGTAAAGACAGAGTCTCACTTTTTTGCCCAGGCTGGTCTCAAACTGCTGGCTCAAGTAATTCTCCTGCATTGGCCTCCCAAAGTGCTGGGACTACAGGCGTGAGCCACTGTGTCTGCCCAACATGACGAGTATTATTCTCTGGCAGGAAGTGAAATTTTTTCTCACTGATGATTGCACACAAATGTCATATCTCCATGAGGCTGCCACTTACTAGCTTTGGGGCTCATGTCACCTTGCTTCAAACTATGCTTTGGTATAATTTTGAAGTGTATATTTCCATTGTCTCTTCTTGAGTAATTGATAGTCTTCATAGTAAGTTTACACTTATTATCACTTCTATTTATTTTATTACTCTGAGCAACCAATCTTATGAGCAGCTCATAGTGGAATTTGTGGGTCATGGTAAATATATTATTTGACTGACTTCCAAACACGCTTACTATTGCCTGGTGTTTTGATTATTTCAAAAAATACAGATTTCTTGAAAGGCCTGCAAAAGAAAACAATCAAAATTATAGCAGTTAAGAACATGAGCCTGCCTCGGTTTGAATTCCAGATGGGCCACTCCCTAGCTGTGAAATCTTGGGAAAATTATTAAATCTCCAGCCTCACTTTCCTCCCCTGTAAAATGAGGATATAGGCTGAGCATCCCTAATCTGAAAATCCAAAATTTAAAATGTTCCAAAATCCGAAGGTTTTTGTGTTCCTACATGACGCCACAAGTGTAAAATTCCACGCTTGACCTCATGTGACAGGTCACAGTCAAAATACAGTCAAAACATTGTTTCATACACAGAATCCTTTTTTTATTTGTATAAGTGTAGGTGGCACAAGTGCAGTTTGTTACATGGACATACTGCATGGTGGTAAAGCCTGGGCTTTTGGTGTCTCCATCACCCAAGTAGTGTCCATTGTATTCATTAGGTTATTTGTCATCCCTTACCCCCCCACCTTCCTACTCTAAGTCTCTAATGCCTAGCTTTCTATGTTCATGTGTACACATTATTTAGCTCCCACTTCTGAGTGAAAACAGTGATGCCTGTCTTTCTCTTCCTGAGTCTTTTCACTTAAGATGATGGCCTCCAGTTCCATCCATGTTGTTGCAAGAGACATGATTTCATTGTTTGTTATGACTGAATAGAATTCCTCATGCACAAAATTATTAAAAATATGGTATAAAATTACCTTCAGGCTATGTGTATAAGATATATATGAAACATAAATGAATTTAATGTTTAGAGTTAGGTTCCATCCCCTAGATGTCTCATTGTGTATATGTAAATATGACATGATACAAAAAATTCAAAATTCTGAAACACCAGTTGAATTCAACTTTCAATAAGAATGCATACCTCAAAGGGTTATAGTGAAGATTAAATGAGACAATCCTAGTCCAATTTCTTTGCACATAGTAATGCTCAATAATTATTACTTAAATGGGTATAAACTTTATACTAATAAGGTTGGAGCTGGAAAAATACATAGTTTTCATTATTTCCCATAGCAGTCACTCAGTCCCTGACTCTAAACTCTGTGTTCTATGTGGTGGGTGGGTGGGGCAGGGGAGTGGGAGAATCCTCTTTATTCTGTAAGGTTGGTCCTATGGAGGTGTCTGTGGCAGATTGACAGATGGTTTTGTCTTGTGCATAGATGGTGCCTGTGGTTTCCTCTGGCAGAGTTCAGCAGTGTCCTAATGCAAACTCAGTCCTCATCTAGCTCCTGCACAGGCTGATCTCTGGCTCCTTTAGCTCCTACTGGTTCCTGTTGTTTCATTTTGAGAGGCACCCTGGTAAGGACTATAGTGCTCTCTTCAGCTGACCCCCAGGTCCCCAGTCAGAACCAAGAGATCCGACTCTCATAGCACCCAGACACCATGGGAAACGATTGCTCTCAGCTACTAAGGTTGTCCTGTCACCTTCTCTTCTGCCCTCCTTTGCCATGGTATAGGATAATGTAAGTCAGCAATCTCATCACTTGGTACAGACTCAGAGGAATGTAAATCATTCTACCGTAAAGACACATGCACACAAATATTCATTGCAGCGTTATTCACAATAGCAAAGTCATGGAATCAACTTAAATGCACATCAGTTACAGACTGGAGAAAGAAAATGTGATATATACACCATGGAATACTATGCAGCCATAAAAATAATGAAATCTTGTCTTTCATGGGAACATGGATGGAGCTGAAGGCTATTATCCTTAGAAAACTAACACAGGAATAGAAAGCCAAAAACTGCATGTTCTCACTTAGAAGTGGGAGCTAAATGATGAGAACTTACCAACACAAAGAAAAGAACAGCAGACACTGGGGTCTACTTGAGGGTGGAGGGTGGGAGGAGGGAGAGGAGCAGAAATGATAACTATCACGTACTAGGCTTAATACCTGGGTAATAAAATAATCTGTACAACAAACCTCTGGGACACGAGTTTAGCTATGTAACAGACCTTCACATGTATCCCCAAACCTAAAAGCTAAAAAAAGAATCCCAGATGGGAAGTAGGGCACATTTTGCCTCATTTTCAGCTTCATCCTCACTCCCTAACTTGCATCACTCATGTCTCCTCCATCATCAGGGACAGCAAGAATGGGAGGGGACGGGCCATGCCACATCTCCATTCTCTAATCTTATTTCCCCCTGCCTCTTCAGCAGCACTTTGTTTCTCCTCTCCAACTTGAAGGCCTTACAGGTATTTGGTTTCAAAGGGATGCAAAACCGGTTTTGTTAGTAATTCCCTCGGATCTGCCCTTGTCTCCCATCAAGGCTGTACAAATAAAGAATCCAAGGTGTTTGTTTTGTTGGCCTGCTGCTGCGGGGTAGAGATAGAGGAAAGTAACTCCCCCCACCCCGCCCCTCCTTTGGCCGATGACTCCAAAGACTGCCATAAATGAACACTTCATAGAGCTGCTATCATTTTTTTTGTTTTGTTTTTTGAGATGGAGTCTCACTCTGTCACCCAGGCTAGAGTGCAGTGGCGCGATCTTGGCTCACTGCAACCTCCTCCTCCCAGGTTCAAGCAATTCTCCTGCCTAAGCCTCCCAAGTAGCTGGGATTACAGACACATGGCACCCCACCCAGCTAATTTTTATATCTTTAGTAGAGACGGGGTTTCACCATGTTGGTCAGGCAGGTCTTGAACTCCTGACCTCATGATCCACCTACCTCGGCCTCGAAAAGTGCTAGAATTACAGGTGTGAGCCACCACACCCGGCCCAGAGCTGTTATTATTATTATGACACATATCTACTTGATCTAAGCAGTTCTTTTACTTTCTTAGGGCAGTCATTCTTAAGTCTTTGGATTTCACAGAAAAGAAAATATATTTTAATTGAGGACTGATGAAGGGTTGCCAACTTTTAATTTTATCAACTATAAGAACTATTTTTATAATTGCCATCAATTTCTATCATTTCTTTTATTCCCCCTGTCTTCTACTGTGGAAGGTAAAATTGAAGAGCAAAGAATACCTCTTTCAAAATGAGTAAATTTAGCCATATGAAAAATCAGCAGATTGCCCTGAGTTTGCCTGCGTAGCTGCAGTCCAGTGGAAATTTCTTCCAGACCAGCACTAGTCAAGCCAGTGACATTTAGAAATCACTGCCCTGGAGTGTTTCAGCCACCGAAACACTTGGTGTTTGCTGTCGGCTGTGATTATATATGAAGTACTTTCGGGAACCAATGTGTAGCATAACTTAGGCCAAAAGAAACGCTGTGCCTAAATACTCAGCCAAGGAGCATTGAGTTTGCCTGGATTTCTGGAAAATTGCCTCCATTCCCTACATCACTGTATTTGGGTAAACAAAAGATGTCCTCAGAGAGCTTTTGCAGGAGAAATTATAAAAATTCAGCAAAGCTTTGTGATCTCATTTTGGATCTCCTCAGGATTCCTCATCAAGTTGCAATTAAGGAGAGAAAAATTCTGCCTTGGGGTGTGATTTTAATTACTCATCGTGTTATGACTTGACTTTCGGTGCTGCATTTTTTTCCATATCACTACTTCTGTGTTTGACAGCTTCTTCAAAGAGTCACTCTGTTTTACGCCAGGAGCGAAGTACTTACTAACTCAAAGAAGGCAAGGCAAATATCTACGATTGCCTTTGTGCTTTTACCAGAAAACCGGGTGAGAACCTCCTTTTCCTTTTCCCTGCCCCTCCAGCCTCAGTTTTATGACCCTGTGGAGCCGGTGGACTTTGAAGGACTTCTAATGACACACCTGAACACTCTGGATGTGCAGCTTGCCCAGGAGCTCGGGGACCTCACTGATGACGACTTGGATGTGGTGTTCACACCAAAGGAATGTAGGACTTTGCAGCCCTCTTTGCCAGAGGAAGGGTAAATTGTTTTCTTAAATGTAGATGTGATTGTGACTGTCATGTGATTGTTTTCAATAAGCAGGTGGGGGAGATGTCCTAGATCTGAACTAAAAAAAAATTACTCAATCCGTTCAAATGTGTGGGACAACTGTATGGTATCATCACCTCAATATAGGTAGGTTTTAAATTAGTTTGGCCAGAGCTTTTGAAAAGCTACATGGAGACCAAGACAGTGCAAGGGATGCAGGGGCACCAGAGGAAATGCTCAGGAGGAGGTTAAAAGGACAGGCTCTGGAGCCAGACCACCTGGCTGCCAGCTCAGTGACCTTGGGTGACCTCCCAAAGCCTCAGTTTCTCCATTTGCAAAAATGTCAAGATTTTTAATAATTATTATTGAAATGCCTCCATCCAAAAGCATTTTAATTGCTTACAGTTATGAGGCTGGATCAAGTTAGAAACATAAGGTAAACCCATGTTTATTGAGCATCTACTATATTCTGGGTACTGAGATAAAAAGATGAAGAGGGCAAAGTCCCGCGTTTGGAGAAAGTGTCATGCAGTGGTAAAACAGTGGGGAGAGCTCTGTAGAATGAATATGTGAATAGCTAATTAGGGCATGAGTTTCTACAGTTGGTTATTCTATATGTTTATAGGCCTGGGCATGAGCTTTTGGTATCAAACTAACTATGGAATTATAGCTAAACGAAACGCCTATTGCTTCTAAAGTTTTTTAAAAAAATGTCTCTTTGGAGGTTTAGGATAAATTTATATTTACATTCGTTTTAAAGGCAAAATTAAGACTCAAATCCTCCTGGACATGTTCAACCTTCTCATCCTCCCCGAAAGGTCTCAGAAAGAAGATCCTGAAACACAGCCCCTGCCCTCATTAATCTGAGATATTCTACTTCTATTTTGGATTTTATTTCATCACAATTTAAGGAGGTTGCATGATAATGAGGTGGTGTTATTGTGAACCTTTGCTCTCTTGTTCAGACAGTTCTCACTCACATAGGAGAACTGACCATATGTCCAGTTATGATGTTTTAAAAATACACACTTCCCAGAAAATAAAAACATTGTCATTTTTGGGAAACATACTCCCCCATTTTTCAGTCCATTTATCTAGGTTTGACCTTAATGTAAGTAACACCTACTATTCTCATCTTTAGTGAAGAATCATTGAATTTATTCCTTTATGTAAAATGTATAGTTGTTTTCAAATATGGCCAGAATCTTGGGAAAAGCTGTTTAAAATGCTTACAGTAACCAGTCACCCCAGCTCATTCCTGTGGTCTCAGCTACTCGAGAGCCTGAGGCAAGAGGATCACTTGAGCCCAGGAATTTGACTTCAGCCTGGGCAAAATAGCAAGACTCTGTTTCTTAAAAAACAAAAACAAAAACAGTACAATAAATTTAGAGGAAGGAAGAATTTCTTTTGAAATTTGATAAGACAGTTTTTTACTTAGCATCAGTTTTTTAGTATACTATTGTCAAAAGAATTTATAGCTAGCTCATCTGTCTGATGACTTTAAGACAACCTCTACTATTTCAGCTGTTGCCAAAAAGTCTTCTGTATAATTAAATCAGGGGAGGGTATCATCTTCACACCAGGGTGTAAACAATTGCTGACTCCTGTTGAACACCCCGTGCCTAGCCGAGAACTTTCGGTTAAGCTGTAATGGCATGCTAGTGAAAAATATGGACACCACAGGTGAGCTGCCTGGATTCAAGTCCCTGCTCCAGCACTTCTGTGTGCTTGAAACAAGATCCTTACCGTCTCATTTTTCTTCAAAGTGAGAATAATAGGAATGCCTACCCTACGGTGCTGATTGAGAATTAACTGAATTAATACATATAAAGTAATTGCATCAGTGCGTAGTGCATAGTGAATGCCACTTAAGTGTAAACTGTTAATTCATATGTGCACCTTATTATGTGCCAGACAATCTTCTAAGCACTTTGCACGCTAACACATTTAATCTTCATCAAAGCTCTCTACTAAAAGGAGCACTTACTACTCTCATCGCTTTAAGGTGAGAGACTGAGGCACAGAAGGGTTGAGTGACTGGCCCATGGTCACATTGCTATAAAGGATGAAGCTGGGTTTGGGCAGTTAGGACCCAGATACTACATGTGTCACATTTACAATACTTCATCTCATACTAACAGCACATTTCTGTTCTTACCTCCTTTTTGCAAATGAGAAAATTAAGGCTTGTAGCATTTAAACCTGTTTATTTCTGGTACTAAAGCATTTGCAACAATAGCAATTGTTATACAATTGTTATTTCTGATTTCAAGACTGTGAAACGCTTGAAGAGTATTGCTCCTGGTGCATTTCTTAAGCTGGCACAACAGGAACCATCTGAATTAATGATCACCAACAAAAGCCAGTGTCTGCAAATTCGTCAAAGCTTAAGACAACTGTTCTTTTTCCTGGCTTTCAAAAAGGAGAACATACGTGTCCTAACAAGGTTACACATGCATAAAAAATATGTCCAAATTACCCTGTCAGAGTTAGGTATTTATACTTATTTTACTTGTTTTGTATTCAATTACAGCTAGTTCTACCTGTCTTGTGTCAGAATGCCTTCAAGGATAGTTATAATTTAACATGAATCTCTATAATAAAGAAAACCCACAAAGCGAAAAATGCCAACATGTTTATCTCATCAAAGTAAAAATGTTGATTGCCTCAGGAATACTTTAGACACTTGGAATGACTGGGCAAGAACATCCTAAGCATTCTCACTGATAAGGATTTAAACTCAGGTCACATTCCTTGCTTATGATAACGGATTGTTTTGTTGTTTTTACCCAGTAATAACGTGTTTATTTCATTTTCTACCTCATTAGGGTTGAACTGGACCCTCACGTCAGGGACTGTATTCAGACCTACATCCGGGAGTGGCTAATCGTGAACCGGAAGTAAGTACTTTTTCTCCACTTTTTATAGATAAATATTAATTTTATATTGTTAGCTTTTTAATATTTCTTGATACTTTCAACAGTTCAACGTTTACAGAAAAATTGCATGGAAAATAGCTCTCATATGCTCCCTCCTCATCCCCACCCCCCCATCACACACACAGTTCCCCTATTATGAACACCTTGTTTTAGTGTGGTACATTTGTTATCATAGCTGAGCCAACATGGATATGTTGTTATTAACTAAAGTGCATCATTTACATTAGTGTTCACTTTTTGTGTTGTATATTCTGTGGGTTTTGACAAATGTGTGATGACATGTTTCTGCCTTTATAGTATCATACACAATCGTTTCACTGCCCTAAAAGTCTCTGTGCTGATCCAGAGAATAATAACCTGTTTATCCTCCCTCCCTGGCAACCACTTTCCTTTTTCACTGTCTCCATAATTTCACCTTGCTCTCAATGTCTTTTTGTGGCTTGATAACTCATTTTTTATCACTGAATAATCTTTCATTGCATGGATGTACCATTGTTCATTTATCCATTCACTTACTGAAAAAGAAAGTTATATTTTAAACATAAAAAATAGACTACAAGCTTGTCCAACCCCTAACCCATGGGCAGCATGCAGCCCAGGATGGCTTTGAATATGGCCAAACACAAATTCGTAAACTTTTCTTAAAACATTATGAGATTTTTTTGCGAATTTTTTTTAACTCATTAGCTATTGTTAGTGTTAGTGTATTTTATATTTGGCCTAAGATAATTCTTCTTCCAGTGTGACCCAGAAAAGCCAAAATATTGAACTCCTGGAATGGAGTCTTTTTGTTTTCTTCTCATTCTGATGAATTCTGAAGGGGAAACGAATTAAGTGAATTGAAACCTGGCCTCAGATTCAGAGGTGGCGTTTGAGTTTATGACTAAGAAATAAATTACTTGCTGGCCTTCCAGTAAGGGATTTTTCTCTCCTGGATTAATCAAACCTTCTGTGACATTCTTCTGAGCCTTTTTCTTTCCGTTCCATGGACCTGGATAGCCCTCTCTCATGAGAAGCATCTATGCACGTTAAAATTCTCAACCTGCGTGGGTGTACATGTTGAGGAATGAGATGTGGACTGTCTACAGATTAGGGCACACCTCACTAGAGACACATCAGAGAACCTTTGACAAGGCATTGGTAGTTTAAAATTCTGATAGCCTCACTCCTCGTATACCTTAGTAAGAATTACTATTCTATGGGGTAAATGATGAAAGACTTTGGGAATTGGGTTGTATTCAGCTCCTGAAAGGGTGCCATTGAGTTTGTGCTGAGGTTTTCTGGAGTAATGTCAGTATGCACACTGTTTTCAACAGCAGCAGAAGAGAAAGCATTGGTTATTAAAAGTGATTAAGGGAAAGTTACCTGTTAATCCATCGTCTGTTCTAATATGAATGGAAAACAAAGTTTGCCAGAGAGTCAAATAAAATTATGGTTTGCTGATAATAAATCAAAGATTTCAGAACAAGTCGTTCTCAAGCTTTTAAATGTTATCATTAGAGGTACTTTCTGGACATTAAAGATCTAAAAAAAAATCTGAGAAGGAACAACAAATAGAAATGTTCATTTTGATACATTGGTTTTCAAATTTATTTTCTATTTTGGGCTTGCCCACTTTTTCGTTCCTCATGGCAATTGCAAGCTTCTTGGAGTGGTGTTTTTTCTTTATCTTGAACAAATGTAAAAGAAAAAAAAATGACTCTTTGGAATACTTGTAGAAATTTTAGAAATAATTATGGAACAAAAATCACTCAGTTTCACTCTAGACAGATAATCATCACGAACATTTGATGTCTATCCTTTGAATGGTGTTGGTTTTTTTGGTATATGCTTATATGAAAACTAAATCAGATTATAATACCATTTTTATAACATGCATTTTCAGTTTTTACAGTAAAGAGTGATTCTCTCCCTTTGCTATTAAATACGCTTCCTCAATGTAATGATTAATGGTTGTGTAATATATTTATACCAAAATGTATTTAACCAATTTTAATGTTTAGATGATTCCTTACTTTTCAGTGTTGTACTTAAAATGCAACAACATCCTTCTCACTAAAAATTTGTACCTATTTATGACTTTTTTCTTTGGGATAAATTCCTATAAGAGGAATTTCTATGTCAAAGGATATGCACAAATTTAAAGATTTGGAATAATAGATCAAAGATTATGCTGAGCACAGTGGCTCACATTTATAATCTCACTCAGCACTTTGAGAGGTTGAGGAAGGAGGATCACTTGAACCCAGGAGTTCAAGACCAGCCTGGGCAAACAGAGACCCCCATCTCTACAAAAATAAAAATTAACTGGGTATGATAACATGTACCTGCCCCCCTAGCTACTCAGGAGGCTGAGGCAGGAGGATCACTTGAGCCCAGGAGGTCAAGGCTGTAGTGAGCAATGATTGTACCACTGTACCCCAGCCCAGTCAACAAAGGAAGACCGTCTCAAGAAAATATTGTTAATACTATATGCATGAATCCTCAAGAATATTAGATGTTATAATTTATTAACATTTCCGATTTTATTTGTTAAAAGGTTGTCTTTTATTTTCATTTTCTATTATTAGATTAGGCATCTTTTTTCCATATATTTCTTGGCCATTTTTTATGTTTCCTGGTGCTCTGCATATTCATGAAATTTGTGCATCTCTATTAAGGTATTTGTCTAGTCTGATTTATTTTTATGAGCACTTTATTTGTTAAAGATGTTAACCCTTGTCTATCATGTATTAAAAATACCTTCCACAGTATACCTTTTGTCTTTTAAAGTTGTTCATAGTTTTTAATATTCTGAATTATTTATATCATTAAATATGAACATTTTTCCTTATGATATTTAATTTTGGCATCATGCTTAAAATTTGATTCACAAACATTATTATTTTGTAACAGTTTGGGATTAAAGCATAAATTTAGACCATTAGCCACTTGATTGTTGCTTCTGTTCACTTATGTGCCTCCATTTGCTTTTATCTTTTCTATAGAAGCAATGGTTATCCATATATTTATTCCATGCAAGTTTTTGCATCCCTTTCCCCGTAAAAGAAAGGAATATCTGTTTTAACTTTATGTTTGGCAAGATTCTAAGGATAGGGGTTACCGCTGGACCAGTTCTCTGCAGCCCTGTGTAATGGAGCACTTCCCTTCCCAGAGGTCAAGTAGATAGGGAGAGGTGTACAACTTCAGAACTCATTGTCAGTTTCTGGCAAGCTTTCTTATAGAAAGGATGCATCTCTTTCTGTCCCTTTGCCTGATTCTCTTGCACTCTGAGTCTAACACTCTGCCCATGAAAACTACAATTCCTAGCACACACACCTCTCAGGGAGCTTCCGTCTCTGTTTATTTGTTATAGTTTATCTGTGGGGCAAATCCAGTACACAATTGCCGGATACCCTTTATTTCCCAGCCTCACATAGTGCATATTTAGTGCTGATGTTTTCTGTGAGTTGTATCTGTATCATTTTAGAATGATGGTAGAAGGGGAAGGTGGTGATTCATATGAATGAAACCAGGTGGCAGAGGCTGTGATGCCTTCATAGATAAGCCGCTACTCTGAAAAAGGAGAATTCAGATTTCTGTATAGACACTGACTGTTTAGGGACTCGTGGGCAGGAAGGTACACAACATCTTATCTTTATTCAGTGAGTTCCCCTTTGGGGAAACAAAGTATGGTACATCCTTCTCTTTCCAGCCCCATCTGTTCCACAGAGGTTCTGTCCAGATTCAGGTGTTAAATTATCTCTTCATTTGGATGAGTTTCCATTTTTTCTGTCTTCATACGTGGTTTACTGGAAAGTTGGAGGAGGATGCAATAGGGGTTGCTGGCCACTTGTTAATTAGTGATTGATTATTTAGCTCTCCTTTAATTTGGTTATGTGCCAAATAATGTATGACTGTTTTGAAAGAAATCAGGTAATGTGGAAGTGCATTAAGGAAAAGGCAAATCTCATGCCTCACTACTCACCAGCTTCCTACCCTTCCCTTAAGTCACTCGTCACTCCATAAAGCCCAGCTGTGTAGCTTCCAGATCTTTTTCTACCCTCACAAAAAAGATTTGTCTATTTTTCACATAAAGATGTATGTATTAATGTGTATTTATGTATTGCAAACATACATCTTACATATATTTTTAAATAATAACTTTCCATGTCGGAGCTACATCCCATTCTTTTGAAATCCTGCCTAGTATTCAAAGGGTGGAGGAATGTGTCATAAGTTACTGAAACTAAGTGAGCATTTTGGTTGTCTCCATTTTTCATAATTACAAATAATACCAAAACAAACATCTATGCACATTTGCCCCTACACATGAGTGTGAATATTTCTGAGGATAGAAATGAAGCCAGTGAACATGGTATTTTCTGATAAGTACTGCCAAATTCTTCTCCAGAAAAGTTGGGCTATTTCATTCCATTACCAACTGAGCATGAAACTGGTGCATTCCTATATTCTTGCCAGTGCTAGATATTACGTATTCCTCCAGTCTTCTTTTAGTTATTATTTAATCTGGAAGCTATTACACCTACTTTCTGAATACAGCTTCCTATCATCAAGTTTCCTTTCCTTGTATGTTCTAAAGTCCCAGTTACATGTGCACTTAACCATACAACCCTAAGTCCCACTCTTGGGTGTTTACATAAAAACTGTATGCAAATATAGCAGTTTAGCAATTTTATTTGTAATTGCCAAACCTGTATAGTAGTTTTATTTCTAATTGTCAAAAACTAGAAACAACCCAGATTATACTCAGTTGGGTAGTAGATAAACAAACTCTGGTAAACCCATGCAATGGAATACTACTCAGCAGTGAGATGGAGCAAACAGTTGATATATACAACAACATGGATGACTCTCAGATGCAGTACACTAAGTGAAAGAAGCCGGACAAAAAAGATAACTGCATGATTCCATTTACGTACCATTCTGGAAAAGATAAGGCGAGGGACAGAAAATGGGTC